TAAAAATATACAAATCATATTTCCTACCACCGATAGGAATGTACCCAAGAAGGTTACATATTTATCAAATTCATTCCTTTATTTTAAGACGTACCTTGTGCTGCCTGGGGCAAAGTGACCAACCCTTCCCCCACCCAGATTTAAATAAATTTAGAAAATCTGCCACCGGATTGTAGTCCCTTCCATACCCAAACTAACATAATTTGCGCTTCATATGGTTCGTTCTTATTTGTATGAGGTATAAGTGGTATAAGAGAAGGCCGCAACTGTGATGGCCAGACTGAAGAAAAGAGTCTTGTTAAACGCCAAAATCACAACAAGAACTAAGCTGCAGGTGTACCAGGCCTGCGTACTGAGCACACTCCTGTATGGATGTGAGTCGTGGACCACATACTCTAACCACGAAAGAAGGCTCAATGGCTTCCACCTCAGATGCCTGTGCCACATCCTTGACATTAAATGGCAAGACAAAAGTCCGCAACACGGATGTCCTGTCCCAAACAAACATGCGTAGCGTCCCAGCCATGTTAATCCAAAGACGCCTCCGCTGGCTTGGACACGTCAAGCAAGCGAATGCAACCTGGTCGCATACCAAAGGACGTGCTATACAGCGAGCTGGTGACAGGAAAGGTCAGTTGGACGGCCTGGTCTGAGATACTTAGACATATGCAAAAGAGACATGAATTCGGCCAACATCGACATCTCAAACTGGGAGGAGCTGGCAGAGGATCGATCCTCATGGCGGAACATCGTGAAGGCAGGATCACTACATGCCGAGGATCAAAACAGGGCGGAAACAGCTGCAAAAAGAACGAGGAGGAAGGCCAGAAAACACTGCTCAACCACATTCGTGTGTGGGAAATGTAACAGAGACTGCCACTCGAGGATTGGTCTCACCAGCCACACCAAGAGCTGCAAGCAATAAAGATAATCTATCGTCTCCCGCAGACGGAAAGATGCCATACAAATGGATTACTGAATGCCATTTAGCTATGTATTTGCGCTGGACTGATTGACTTAAACCACATTTTCTTATTAGAATTATATTTAAAGTTAGTTTTTATTACTCTATAATTTTAATAAAAGTATATTTTTTGGAATAAAAAAGTTTTAACTTTTAAAATGTAGAAATATACAACGCTAAAATGTTTGTGTATTATTAATAATTTAAAAACCAATCAATTGTATTTATTAATTTTACTTTTAAGAAGAGAAAATACATTATCATTTTTGTCACGCGTGGTTATTAAATTTAAAGTAACCTAAAAGTTTTGGCAAAATAGGCTATTCGCGCTTAGACGTCTTTTGCTTGATTATTTAGAACAAATAATTTTAATTTTAATTTGCAATATTAACAACGTACTAAAAGCGACTGATGTTTTGGTTTTCCCGAAAAATGTGATTACGGTGTAATTCTTTGATATGATTTTTTTTTCCATATCTTTCAAACGCATATAAAATGCTTAAAATAGTTCCTTAGTGTTTACTTTAAATCTATTTGTAATTTATAATAATAATACTTAAAATTTTAATGAAATAAAAACGTATTTAAAATATTTTTTGCGCATTTAAATTTTTTCGATTTCCGTAAAATAATAGAAAATAACTGTGATTGTTTGTAGGAATCCGAACGTACTTAAATCCTTTCTGTTCTTTGGCGTTATGTCCCTATCTCTCATTCTTATATACTAGAGAGAACCCGGCATGCATTGCAATGCCACTCAAAGAAAAAAAATGTTTGTGTTTTAATTACGTTTTTGAAGTAATTTTTGAATAGAAAATATTTTTTGTTTTTTTAAATCTTGGCGTACACAAATAAATTTGAAATGGCCACATACAGCTGTCCACATGACAAGCATGGATTTTCAAAATGTAGTCCACACATTTGTAGCCATTGATCCACCCATACAGCAGCTCTGTTTAAAATTATATTTAAATAGCTCACAAAATTTTCTTTTTAAAATTAAGCCCTCATCCCAAAACACCATATTGTAAAATGGTTGTACTCATTCAGAAACCTAATTATTATGACACACAAACTGAAATGTCGCGTGTATTTTATTAAATTCCATCCACCCATGCAATAGCTCTTTTTGAAATTATAGGTGTAAAGCTCCTATAAGAAAAAAATAATTTGCGGGCTTGCGCATAACAATTTACAAAATTGTTATCGCAATCGGTTGAATGGCATAGGAAAGCATAAGGAAATTATATTTAGCTCATGACAGTATGACAGAAAAAAAAGACTTAAGGGCCTTGGGCCCAAAACAGAATATTGTAAAATGTGTGAAATAATTTAGTAAACTTTACGGGCGTGTGCACAACAACTCACAAAAGTTTTATCATATCGGATTACTGGTATCTATCGATCTAGCCATCTATCCATCTATCTATCTATACATCTATCTATATATCTAAAGTTATTTTGAAAAGGAAATTTGCGCTTGTGTAAAATGAAATGGTTTTGATATTCATGGGTATAATTGTGTAAATGTACCTATGTTTTGTTAAGGTCATTGATTTTCTTAATTAGTGAAATGGAAATATAGCATCCATTTTACCCAACTGTAACATCATTGGATTTAAAGAAATTGCCATCCACGTAAAATTGTACACACCCTATTTCCTAATCCCCATGTATATATACCTAAAAACGTTAATTATTTGTCAAATTCATTCTGAGGCGTATCGTTTGCTGCCTAGGGTAAATGAAACTATCGTAATACTCTACCCCCAACACCCCCCTCCCCCTCGCCCCAAACAGATTTTTAAAGAAATTAATAAATCATCAACAGTATTTTAACCCTCTTACCTACGCAAAAATATTTTTTTGCATTTCGCATGCTTTGTTCTTATTTGGATGAGGGATAAGTGCATCAGTGAACGCTGTACTGATTGCATTAAATGGCATTTGCGTATTAAAAGTATATTTAAATGGTACGATTTTCACTACTATATAAACTTCATAAAAGTATATTTTTTTTAAAGAATAAAAATAAAAACTTATTAAATTTTAAAAAAATGCAAAGCTAAAGTTACATTAAATTTTAGAAAATTTTAGCAATTTCAAAAGCAATCTATTATATATATCAATTTTACTTTTAAGAAGGGGAAAATACATTATCAGTTTTGTCACGCACGGTTATAAAATTTAAAAAAAACACAACTTAGTGCTGTGGCTAAAATAGGCAATAACGGAATGACGTCATTTGCGTAATTATTTAGATCAAATTAATATTATTTTTATTTCGCAATATTAACTACACACTAAAATACGCATTAAAAATAACAATTGTTTGGGTTTTCCCGATAAATGTGATTAAGATGCAATTCATAGATTAAAATATTTTGATTAATTTTATTTTTCATAACATTTACATTCGTTTAAAATGCTTAAATAATTCCTAAGTTGTTGCTTTAAATATATTTGTAATTTATTATAATAATACCTAAATTTTTGCAAAAATATAAGTGGAAATATAATATTTTTTGCGCATGTATATTTATTCGATTTCCGTAAAATAATAAAAAAAAAACTATAGCTTTTTTGAGAATCCGAACGTATCAAAATATATTCGGGTTTTTAGCGTTATGTCAGTATAGCTCATTCTTATATATATATATATATTTATATAAATAAATATATATATATATATATATATATATATATATATATATGAGAATTTAAAAAAAAAAAA